GAGTTTTTTTAATGTATGTCCATTGTCCACTTTTGTCCATGTGACACTGTTAAAAACGCCATTCTTTGTATCATGTCGATGTGTAAGAGTACACTAAATACATGTTTATACGTCTATGTTTCTAGTTTAGTTTCTTTGGCTTATTGACTTGTGAAACGGTGTATTACATTGATGAGACAGTCAATTAAACATCTGGAGAAAGAGAGAAGCATTAATAACAATAAAATCACATGAAAATTGCAAGACTCGGTTTGCTTGAGTCTTATATGAGGGATAATAAAAAAGTGCACCATCTCTCACGCCCCGTAGCACAAGCTTGATAGTACGCAATCTTCATCACTTAAATGTACTGACATCAATGATCCCGAAGGACCAGGACCTAAACCCTCTCGTTACTGCTCCGACATGGAGCAGGTAAAAGTCTTAGAAACAAAAAGGCGTCCAATCAATATGAAATAGCAAGGACTATAATTAGAAATGACACAATCTGTAATTGTGTTCCCAGTGCTGCCACGCTAAAATTACCCTTGTCTATGTTTCACATAAAGCAGTGGTTACGTTGTTCTAGTAAACGCGCCCGCAGACAAAAATAAAGCATTGGTGTTTAAGTTGTCTTTAAATAAAAAAAGTGTAAAAAATGGTAATAGTATATATGTATTGACTATATCTGGCACATTGACTTCTGCATTTTTTAAATAAAAACAATCGCAATAAGCTTAATATGTATAGAGATGTGACACATTATCAATATGTGTGTTGCAATATTATACGTGATTTGAAAGAAAACAACAAATCTATGCAACATGAATGAACAGATGTGTGCGTCTGTATGAGGATATATGGATGTATGTGTGTTTATACTAATATCATGAGTTACTACATATTCTTTTTCATATCATATTTATTCTGTCGAAGCATTTGTATGTTTGTTTTAACAACAATGGTAAAACTGGAAATATTTTTTTACCTCAGAATATGTGCTACAAAGAACATTAGAAGCATGATAATTACAAGAATGAAAATCGCTGGTGCAACGACACTAAATATAGCAAAAGCCACATTGTAAGTTCCTTGGCCGTCATCTGGTGAAATTGTCACGTTCATATTCTGTTCACATGTCCAAACATAGTTCAATAAGATACGCATTAGCTTTTGTCTGTTTCTATTTTATTGCATACAATTTTCGTCTTAAAATGTTTACGATATTGTACAGTTTTAACATATAAGATTTAACACAGGTATCTTGAGTTTATGCGTCCATGCTTGTCTTTCAAATAATTCAGAATCAAGATTATCATATTGTGTCTTCAGTTTGATACGTTTTATCAACGTCGATAATATGTGATTTACTCCGTCACAATCCAAAACAATAACCTGCGTTCAAGTCCACGGTGTAAAATACTCCAGCTTGGAATTTAATAATTAATTTCCAGCCTTTAAGTATCTGATTATTTTTATGATATGTAATTTTAATCGAGCGTTGGATCTAATTTGCTAATTGTTCTTGTTGTATCCAAGCATTGAAATAATGTCATATCCCAGTGTTTCAATGTTTCAGTATATTGAGTAGTGTTTGTTTATATCCATTTAGATATTTCTTTTGAGGCATCATTTAGTATTTTCGATCATGATAAATTGTGAGGTAACTTTTAACCTACGACTGCATTCAAATACGCAATTTCGAAAATACCTATTAATTATCTTTAAATAGGTTGCATTTGTTCCAGTCTTATATCACAAAAAGTAGCATTTTTAATATTAATTTGATGCCAAATAGTGTCATTCTTTGCTTTTTCAACTACATTCCACTTTATACACAACTGAGAAAAAAAAGCGCATTTCATCATATTTTGTTTCCTTGTAACTGTCCGCTTTACACACGTTACTTTAAAAGATCTGGAGGTCTCAAAAACACACGTATTGTATAACCATATTAAGTGCAAAAACACAATTATAAACCGTAGCATAGCAAAAAGACGCTAGGTGAAAGTATATATGTAAATATAGTTTCCTTGACACATGAAAACTCCTTCGTTTGCATATAAATTTGAATTTTTTAATAATTCTTACTATCATTTATGTTATGTGAGCACTGTCCGACACAGATTCCTATCTTAACTCTTGCGAGTGTTACCGACAAGAATGAATGGCATAGAAATCAAACGTTCACTGTAAAGATTCTGAAACCAAAGTGATTTCCAATACTGTTGCAGTTACTCGAGACTTGCTCAGTAAGTCTGTGGACAGAGGGGAACAGAATAAAAATACGATAAATAGAATTACAATTCCCAAATCGACTTCCTTAAAAATACTTTGCCGATAAATCAAAAGACAATAAGCAGTTATTGAAAAAAACATATTTCCCTTAATCTTAATGCATTATGCCTATAAATATTATTCACATACCTATTGAATTTCAAATATATTTTATTGTTAAGGCAATAAATTGCCCATTTTAATCTTCACAAATATTCTTGTATATCAAAATGGCTGAAGTAATAATGTCCTACCTAATCTATGTCCATATGTTTAAAGATAAATCGGTGAAATGTTGGTTGATTTTAATTATAGTGAATTCAATGATACTGATTTTATGTTTTAGTAATTTTTAGACATAACAATGTTCCTCTATATCAAACGCGTACTATAGATTGGATTTTATCGGACATGTCAACATGTCTAGACCCTGTTTATTGTCATCAGATGTGATTTTGGCATATTTATGTCTTATAGATTTTACAATCCCAAAGGAGTAAGATTTCGTCAATCAATAACTGTCAGAACTACTGTATGATATATCAGATGTATATTTAGTGTTCCTCTGTGACTCATGTCTTCTGAGCAGAATTAAATTAATTTACAAGAAATGTATGATATAGTGCTATGTAGCTCTACTGGCAACGAAAGTGATTGGTCTATGTAGCCGGTATAGAGTATAGCGACAAGCAGGTTGACAGGCTCTTTACTGTTTGTAGCTCCTTTATAGTGTTTTGTAATTGAAAACACCTAAAATTCAAATAGACTGTTCCAAAACCAAAGCAGGACGAATTCATCACACAAACGGATTTGGTTGAGTATAGTATGGAACCGCATATTTGTTTTTAATTTGCATCCATATGAAAAAAATGACGATTATCAAACAGAGCAGTTTCTCAAAAATAGAATTGCTTAATTCATATATCATTATTATAAACTTTTGTCTTACTACCGTAAATACATATAAAGAAAATGATATTTCTTAATGTCTTACTCCAGGTGTAAAAGTTTCTAAGACCCAAGTATATAAACGCTCTATTGTATTACATTAAGTTTGTGAACGTTTTATTAAAAAAATTGTTAAGCAATATCTTTGGTGTGATAGAGTGGATTATTGGTAAAGAGATATAACTGTAATCGAGGAAAAGTCTGTCTGGAGGCAGAGTTATCTATACTTCATAATTATACCTCCTGCTATTTAAAATCGAGTCCATCCCGATATCCCCATGTCGATAAGGAATGCTCGGAACTCAAAGTGTTTGATTTAGTACAATTATAATTTTGCATGTGATAAAATATATTCTGTTATGTGTTTGTTTCCCGAAAAAGTACTTTCTTTAATGGAAATAGGCAACTTCCCTGTTGTTTTAGCGTCAATTATTTTACTAGTGCTTTTGACAATATCTTTTCTCATAAATACTAAAACTTTCTGATTGTACATAATTGTAGTCTCTTATGAATACAAAGGTCAAACAGTCAGACATTGTTGAATCGTAGCTATATATACATTGAAAATGATTCTATGTTTTTTAATTAATGCTGGATGCAGGCAGACTCTTTCAATAATCATAAAAGACTTTCTGATATGATCATGTGATAGAGTTTTCACCTAAAGCTACAGAGGACAAGTTCAAGCGCTTTAGATTGTGTTTGATAAACGGGATAGTAGAAAACATACCCCCACGGTTTATTATTTATCAAAGGCCAATACACACCACCAGTCCTGAAGGAACTCCACTGAGGTCCATCAGACTAAAAATTTAAAATCTTGAATTTCTGGCAAAGATCACATAACCCTCTTAATTTTAAATGGTCACAGATGGATGCTCTGAATTTGCGACTCTGAGAAACCTTCTACAAGAATTATGCAATGATACGTTTTGTAATTCCTTTTCCCTCAGAAGCTAATCCATCACACATGCCTGTCATTTTTGTTGCAATTAATCTCAGTTTTATCGCCCATACTATTCAAGACCTATTTACTTTGGGTTTCATCTGTTAGATCTTTTTTGTAGTTGATTTATAAAACTCGAGGTTTGCCAATATCACTGGAATCATTTTTGATATTGAATACGTGCTTCTTGCTTTTGAAGACTTGTTGAAGTGCAATCCAACCGCCGATTTTATTTAAACAAACACGTTTGAACCCCAGTTCTCACATGCATAGAATCAACCGGTGATGTTTGTTATCTGGTTCATGGGTCTTCAAAATTTACGTTTGCTCGAACCGATTAAAGGATGATACATTTTTTTCGTTTTCTATTCCATTTCCGTGATGTTATTTGAACAGGTCGCGAGCAGCATTTTATTACTCGATTCAGGAAGCAGAAGATGTTGAATAATTCAGGTGTTCATCAATTTGCATGGAATAAAGTGCATGCTTGGTGGAAAGAATACTTTTTTCAAAAGTAAAGTTTATCTTGATAAACGGGCGCATGTACTTTTTGCGAAATCATACACAGTTTATCCGACTTGCCACAAAAAACAGTAATTGTCTATACATGTAATTATTTTATTGAATGTACTAAAGCTTGGAATAAGACTTTGCTATCTTAAGAATGAAGGGCTAGGGTATTGTTACCAAACTTAGCCTGTTATAACTTTTTAATTTAATGTCTTTCTATACCTTAATCCTTTTTATAAAAACAACTTTTCCCCTTGAACAAACTAGACTATGACCCTTTATCGAAAACAAAATGTCAGTCGATTTTGTACTGATGTTCTAGCAAAATATTGTGCATACCAGACTCGTTTATTATACTGACTAACAAAAGGAGAACAAACACACGATCTTTTTTTTTCTTTCATTCTGTATTTCTGACGACAGTAAATTCATCTACTCTGACAGTCTATCCGACTATTGTATCCACGTGATGTGGTCGTAGTGCTGAATGATAGAAAATATTTTATTGATATGTACCAAATTATTTCATAAAATAAAGCCAAGTTTACAAAATTATATGAACTGTTCCTAAATATCATAATTCGGTCCTTTTAATAGTATTCAAATACTTTTGATGTTTTAAAGTGTACACTTTTTTAGAATGAGTGAAAACCTTTTAGTTTATACTTTGTTAGAAGCTATAAGCTAATTGGAACACTCTCAAATCCGTTCAGGAATCGACCAGAACTAAGCAATGAGTGTTAAGTTCCTTGCTCAAGGAAACAACGGGATTTGAACACACGCGGCCAGCAATCCTTAGATTACTAGTCCAACGCGTTAACCACTCGCCCATGCCGCCAAACACAAACTATTGATTTTTTTTGTTGTAATAAGAAAGCAGTATATTGAACATAGATTGTACAGTACTTTTGTACTTACAATATTCACAAATAAATGGATTTTGCTGTCCTATGTCACCGAATAGTGTTGTTGAGCCACATATGACGTCATCCCATTTACCGTAGTATGGCGCATAAGGTACAAACAGAACGCAATCTTCGTTATAATGACTGGCTAGATTACCTTTCCTATCCGAATACCAGTTCAGATATATCACATGGTCACCTGGAAGGACATATTTGAAAACAAATATGGACTATATAAACGAACGCATATATAGTCTTGAAGTCTAATTGGTCCTTGTTAATGTAATTATTGTTAAGAGTTTGCCTGATACTAATGTGTATATTGAATGTTTGACAAAAAAAGAAGTCACAGTAATTAAAAGGAATGACAAAGTGATAGGTTCGTCATTTTTTGGAACAATTTAGTTATTTATCTATTTATTTATTCTGCTCTAGAATATGTAAGACGCTGTAGTTCATTATAACTGAATTTTAAGAAAGGAATCGTCTTTTCTTTGATCATAAAATACTTAGGAAAAGTGTGTATCTTCTTTGACTGAATAATTTTAGATGATTGTAAATAACTGAACATTCATACGCCCCGGAACTAGCTATATACTCAGACATACCCGATATCCATTCAAAATTCTCCTCTGTGCGTACGTCATGCAACCCCATCCATACGGCATGATCAAAATTGTAAGATTTAATCCACCTATAAATGTAATCTTGCAGCCCTGGACCGTCGACATGAAAAAGATCGCCGCCTTTGGCCATACAATCCCGCTCTGCTTTGGACCAGATTGTTTTGATCGGAACCAATTCATAGCAATAGTCGCCATATTGAGTGAGGGCGCCACCATCTTCCCGCGTGTACTGATGAAGTTTTGCCGGGCACAAGTTTATGTTTCCTGCCAAAGAAATAGGTGGTATGTTGTTAGTTCCTAAATGTGACCAGTTAGCTTTCCATTGTCTTACAATGTACTGTGGTGAAATCACCGCCAAGTTAAAAAAAAGATACAGTAGCACTTTTTTGGAAAAAAATACTAACACTTAATGGTAATAAAGTTTAATAAATCCCATTTAAAAGAAATATTCATTCCGTGTATACGTATTATATTTGCCTAACCGCACAGTCATAATCGATTGTATCCCTTTACATTTTGGGCGTAACTCTTGTTCTGCCGGAAGTATAATACTTAAAATGTCGGCACAAATGAATTTATCATCGTATTTAAACGATTGTATGTTTATAATCAAATGTTTTACAGTGTTCATAGTTTTGTCACTTGAAAAACTGCTTTTTTTAAAATGATAAATAACATGCGGAAAGGTTATGCGCCTATCTCGAAATCACGGGTCACGGGTGTTGTGGAATGAAAAAATATGTTTTAAAAAGTGTTGCGGCCTTTATCCCCCTTTACCCATTGTTTGGTGTTAAAAATTAAAAGCCTTATTAGTTTTTTCTATAAATAGAATTTCGTTTCTTATTACTAATGCTCTTAGTTTTCTCAGGGGTACTCTTTAATGGGATAAAATCAATCGTCAGGATGACACCCCCCCTTTTGAAAGCAAAGGGAAATTTAAAAAACAAATGTTGAATAAATTTTTTAAAAAAAACCAAAATTTAAAGAACTAAAGGTTTTTTTTAAAACTTTAAAAAATAAAATAACCCAATTACAAAATTTT